GCTGCTGCTGCTGCTGTTGCTGCTGCTGCTGCTGCCGGGACAAAGGCTGCTTCCCCACAGATTTGCTGCTCCCGCCTTTTGCACTGCTGCTGCTGCTACTGCTGCTACTGCTGCTGCTGCTGCTGCTGCTGCTGCTGCTGCTGCCGTCGTCTCCGCTGGTGTAGTGGGAAGCCGAAGTGACTTGCCCAAAGATGTGTTCGCTTCTATGCTGCCACCGCTTGCTGCTGCTGCTGCTGCTGCTGCTGCTACTGCTGCTGCTGCTGTTGCTGCAGCTGCTGAGCACATCTCTCTCCCCAGGGACCGGGGTAAAGGAGTAGCAGCAGCAGCAAACCATACCTAAAGGCCTATCATCGTCGTTGCTGCTGTTGCTGCTGCTGCTGCTGCTGCGCTGCAGCGTGCAGCGCATGCAGCAGCGCTTGCAGCAACGGTGGCCATTTAGGTGCAGCAGCTTGTGGCGGGTAGGCAGCGGCTGCTGCTGCATCTTCGTTGCTTCTGCTGCTGCTGCTGCATCTGTTGCTGCTGCTGCTGCTGCTCCCTCCTCTGCCTCCAGCTGCCTAAGAGTAGCAGCAACTGTCTCCTCATTAAACGAAGGCAGCAGCAACTCCTCTCCTGCTGCTGCTGCTGCTACACGCTGCAGCAGCACCTGGTTCCGCTGCCGACGAACTGCAGCAGCAACACACAAACCCTAAACCCTAAACCCTAGACCCTAAACCCTAAACCCTAACGATTCAGTGGCGTGTCCCTCTACAGACGAAAAGGGAATCCCTACGAGGGTTTGTGAATTAGGGTTTAGGGTTTAGCATTTCGTGGCTAGGCTGAAGCTTCCCCCTCCTCTATCTGCAAATTAGGGTTTAGGGTTTATTAGGGTTTAGGGTTTAGGGTTTAGGGTTTACAGAATTTATGACATTTAAGGAGTTTAGTGTAAGGAATATGTGGAGGTGGAGGCCGCAGCAACAAAGAATTAGGAGTTCCCTGAACAACAAAACCCTAAACCCTAAACCCTAAACCCTAATCCCTAAACCCTAAACCCTAGCAGGCCCCAAACACTAGTGCACACAAACCCTTATCCGCGTAACTTCTTTCAGGGTTTAGGGCCTACAAATTAGGGTTTAGGGTTTACAAATTACAGTATAGCGTTTACAAATTAGGGTTTAGGGTTTAGGGTTTAGGGTTTAGGGTTTAGGTACCTGATTAGTAATTGGACATATGCCCGTTAATTCAATTTGTTTTTGTCGTAAAGTTGCTGCTTGCTGCAGCTGCTCGTCATACATTGTGCGCAGCTGCTGCAGCACCTGCTGCAGCAGCGGAGCTAGCTGCTGCTGCTCCTGCTGCTGCAGCATAGCAAGCTCTTCCTGCAGCAGCAGCAGCAGCAACAGCACCAACAGTAGCAACACAGCACACTCTCATACACCAAACCCTAAACCCTAAACCCTAAACCCTAATATTTTCGGGTGTATACGCACCTCATCTTCTGATGAACTGTCGCTTCCGCTGCTGCTGCTGTCGCTGCCGCTGCTGCTGTCGCTGCTGCTGCTGCTGCTGCTGTTTGAATCAGAAGCAGCAGCAGCAGAAGAGGCCCCTGTTGCATTCTTTTGCCTTTTTACCTTGCTGCTGCTGCTGTTGCTGCTGCTGCTACTGCTGCTGCTACTGCTGCTGCGTTCAGTACCCTTGCGCTTGAGGGCAGTAGTAGCAGCAGCACCCTTGTTGCTGCTGTTGCTGCTGCTGCTCTTGCTGCTAACGGTGCTGTTGCTGCTGCTGCTGATGCTAGAAGAAGATGTCTTCTGAGCAGCAGGCCGTCCCTCTAACTTAACAGCTACTGGTGCTGCTGCTGCAGCTGCTGCTGGTGCTGCTGCTGCAGTTGCTGCTGGTGCTGCTGCAGTTGCTGCCGATGCTGTTGTTATTGGTGCTGCAACTGGTGCTGCTGGTGCTGCTGCAGTTCCTGCTGGTGGTGCTGCTATTGCTGCTACTGTTGCTGCTGCAGGTGGCATAGGCGCGCCTGCTGTATATGCGAGTGGTGCTGCACCTGCTGCTGCTGCTGCTGCAGCACCAGCAGCAGCTTCTATTTTCTGATTATATATAGCAGCTGGTGCTGCTGTTGCTGCTACTGGTGCTGCTACTGGTGCTGCTACTGGTGCTGCTGCGCCTGGCATTGGTGCTGCTGCTGCAGCTGCTATAGGTAGGACCCCATGAGCTATTGTTGTACCCTGCAGCAACGTGTCTCGATGCACTGCAGCAGCAGCACCAGCAGCTGCTGTGGCTCCTGCAGCAGCAGCAGCAGCTATTGCCGCTTGCTGCTGATCTGGGCCTACGGCCACAGACGCAGCAGGAAGAGGAGGAGGAGCAGCAGCAGCAGCAGGGTGACCCATCCCTGCGGCAAGAGCAGCATACTGTGCTGCTAAAGAGCTATCGTTCTCCATAGTCCTGCTGCTGCTGCTGCTGTTGCTGCTGCAGCAGCAGCAGCTGATGTACCTCTACCTTCTACAGCTGCTAGTACGCCGTGGCGTGTATAGTTTCCTGCAGCGCTGCAGCAGCAGCAGCAGCTGCCGCTGCAGCAGCTGCTGCTCCTGCTTTTGCTGCTGTTGCTGCTGCTCAGCAGCAATGCTTGCTGCTGAGCATGCAGAAGATTGGTGCTATAGAAGAAGATTGTATACTTCTGCGTTACCAATGTCGCTGCTGCAGCTGTTGCTGCTGCTGCTGCATGCCTAGCATGCAACAGCAGCAGCAACAGCTGCAGCAGCAGCAGCAGCAGTCTTCTTCCCCTTGCCCTGTCTAAGTTGCGTTTATTGCTGCAAACACTGCAGAATAAAGCGTTAAAAAAACAAAAGTTGCTTCTTTGCTGCAGCAGCAGCTGCTGCTGCTGCATGCACTAGGCTGCTGCGGCTGCGGCTGCTGCTGCTGCAGCCACACTGCCGCCGCCGCCGCCGCAACAGCAGCATCAGCAGCAGCAGCAGCAGCAGCTGTGTCTACTTATCTATAGAGAGTTTACCTCTGCTGCATGCAATATAAACCCTTTTTGTCTGCCGCGTTTGCTGCTGCTGCTGCCGACGCGGTGTACTAATAAAAAGGGTTAGATAACTACCTAAACCCTAAACCCTAAACGCTAAACCCTAAACCCTAAACATTAAACCCTAAACACTAACCCCTAAACCCTAAACCCTACACACACCACCCTAAACACTTGCCTGTATCCACCAGAAGACACTGCCAGATGGGCAGCGAGCTTCCTGGTCTACGGCTAGGGTTTAGGGTTTCCTAGGGTTTAGGGTTTAGGGTTTAGGGTTTAGGGTTTAGGGTCGAAAGATGTTGTTCCGGCGAATATCTTCTTTGGCAGATCTCTTTACACCCCGCACACCCCTACCTTCTTACCCACCACACCTCCAGCAGCAGCAGCAGCAACAGCAGCAGCAGCAGCAACAACAACAACAGCAGCAGCAGCAGCAGCAGCAGCAGCAGCAGCGCGGAACATTCTTAGTGTTGCATACATTTGGCCTTCATCCTTATGAACTCGCAGTCATAGACGAGGCATTCTTCCGCCTCTTCCCGCAGTACCAGCAGCAGCAGCAGCAGCAGCAGCAGCAGCAGCAGCAGCAGCAGCAGCAACAGCTGCACCAGCAGCAGAAGCAGCAGCAACGGCCGATAGCTGCACTGCTGCTGCATCATCCTCCGTTCCTAATTGATCCTTCAGTTGGTGCTCGCCGTGCTAGCAACAACAGCAGCAACACTAGCAGCAGGAGCAGCAGCAACAACAGCATCAGCAGCAGCAACAGCAGCAGCAACAGCAGCAGCAGCAGCAGACGCTTCGGTAGTTGTTTTATCTTTGGTATAAGCGGGAAGCCGCAGCAGCATGCAGCGCCTTCTGTACTCAAGACACTGAGGCAATACACCTTGCAGCAGCAGCAGCAGCAGCAGCAGCAGCAACAGCAACAGCAGCAGCAACAGCAACAAGAGCAGCAGCAGCAGCAGCAACATTTGGACTCATATAGAGCTGAGGAGACAGAGCTTGCTGCCTCCGCTGGCGCATCGGCAGATAAAAATGCAGCAGCAGCAGCAGCAGCAGCAGATGCTGCAGGAACAGCACCTGGTGCTGCTGCAGCAACAGGTGCAGCACCAGCAGCAGCAGCAGCAGCAGCAGCAGGAGTTCATCTATTAATACGTCGCTTTAGTGGTGGTGGTACTGTGCTGCTAGGAGAGGAGACAGCTGCATGCAGCAGCTTGCTGCTGTCTCCTTCTTTTGCTGCTGCTGCTGCTGCTGCTCCCTTCCCTAGGACTCTTATGCAGCAAGCATTCAAATTCTATGCAGGGATTGCACCTGCTGCAGCAGCTGCTGCTGCTGCTCCACCTGCTGCTGCTGCTGCTGCTGCTGCTGCTGCTGTGGGGGCCCAATCTGGTCATGCAGCAAGGAGCCCTCCTTCTGGTGCAGCAGCAGGAACAACAGCAGCACCAGAAACAATAGCAGCACCAACAGCAACAGCACCAGCTGCAGCAGGAACAACAGCAGCAGCAACAGCAGCAGCAGCAGCAGCAGCAGCAGCAGCAGCAAAAAGAGTGCCGTGTCTCCGTGCTGGTGTCTCCTCTATTCGTTTATCTTCTTCTCCTTTTAATGAATCTTTTGGTCTTATAGAGAATGACTTCGTGCTGCTAAAAGGAGACACCTGCAGCAGCAGCAGCAGCAGCAGCAGCAGCAGCAGCAGCAGCAGCAGCGGCAGCAAGCATGTTAAGATAGCAGGGAATGCACAATCTATATCTCGTCATTGTCTGCTGCAGCACACCTCCTTCCTTTGCCAATTAGCAGCAGCAGACATGCAGCAGCTGCTGCTGCTGCCGCAGCAGCAACCGGTGTACAGACACCAGAGGAGTCATAAGGATTTCTTAGCTGCTGCTGCTGCCGCGCTGCAGCAGCATATTACTGCTGCATGCAGCAGCAAGGTCCTGCTGCAGCAGCCACATGATTTCTTGCTTGCTCTGCATCTACTAGCAGAACAAACCTGTTTAGCAAAGAACCAGCAGCAGCAGCAGCAGCAGCAGCAAAACAGCAGCAGCAGCAGCAGCAGCAGCAGGATACACTGGGAGGTACAGCCAGCAGTATTTGCTGCTGCTGCTGCACGGCCTCCTCTTAGTTTCTTTAGACACATACGCTACATCAATAAACACAGAAGAGCAGCAGCAGCAGCAGCAGCAGCAGCAGCAAATCCGGGTTCTGCAGACATGGCACCCAGCAGCAGCAGCAGCAGCAACAGCAGCAGCAGCAGCAGCAGCAAAGGTGTTAATGAGATATGTTTTCTGCGTGTCTCCACGCCACTCATTCAGGACCTCCTGCAACGCCTGTCAACGCGCAGCAGCAGAAGAAGCAGCAGCAGCAGCAGCAGAAGCAGTAGCAGCAGAAGCAGTAGCAGCAGCAGCAGCAGCAGCAGCAGTCTGCGTACCACACGCCTAATGGGGGCAGACGGTGAGTTGCTTCCTGATGAATTCTTTAGAGACATACTAGAGGTCAACAATTTGCTGCCGCTGCAGCAGCAACTGCAGCAGCAGCAGCAACTGCAGCAGCCGCAGCAACTGCAGCAGCCGCAGCAACAGCAGCAGCAACAACAGCAGCAGTAGCAGCAGCAGCTACGAGTGCAGCGGAAAGCCAAGAGAGGGACCGAAGTCTCCGTTTGAATGTATCCATATTCCCTGTAGCAGCAGCAGCAGCAGCAACAACAACAGCAACAGCAGCAGCTGCTGCAGCTGCTGCTGCTGCTGCTGCTGCTCCTCTGCTGCTGCAGCTGCAGAGAGGAGTTATTTGCCTTAGCGTTTTTTCTGCCTGTGTATCTCCTTAACTTGTTAGCAAACAGTCTCCTTTGCTAGCTAGCTAGCTAGCTAGCTAGCTAGCCACCTAGCTAGCTAGCTAGCTAGCCACCTAGCTAGCTAGCCTCCTAGCTAGCTAGCCATCTAGCTAGCTAGCTATACAGTTAGCTAGCCAGTTAGCTAGCTAGCTAGCTAGCTAGCTAAGTAGTTACCTATATAGTTAGTTAGCTACCCGCCTGCAGCGGGCGGCTCTTCTCTGTCCTTCTTGCTGCTAGCTAGCTACCTAGCTAGCTAGCTAAGGATAAGAGGGTATATTATTAGTGTTCTTTTTTTTTTGTATAATTTGTCTCCTTTTTTACTCAATTAAATAAATTTTCTTTTTTTTTTTTTTTTTTTTTTTTTTTTTTTTTTTTTTTTTTTTTTTTTTTTTTTTTTTTTTTTTTTTTTTGTTTTGTTCCCTTGTATGCAACTTTTGGGGCTGTTGTGCATGCAAATAGTGCGGATTGAGAAAGGAAAACGAAGACACAACTAGGGTTTAGGGTTTAGGGTTTAGGGTTTAGGGTTTAGGGTTTAGGGCGTGTGTACTCCCCAACCGAAGGAGACAACTGCATAAGGAGACACGAGCTGCTGCTGCAGCACAACAACAACTGCTGCTGCAGCAAGTTTTAGGGTTTAGGGTTTAGTTTTTAGTGTTTAGGGTTTAGGGTTTAGGGTTTACGTATATAATAGGAGCTGCGTATACACCGCATATACAGGGTTTATTTATTTCTTTATTTATTTAATTATAATAAAAAGAATAAATAAAATAAATAAATAAATAAATATAAATAATAGGATAAACGTTAAACAATAAAGAACAAAAACAATTCCTGCTGCTGCTGCTGCTGCTGCTGCTGCTGCTGCTGCTGCTGCTGCTGCTGCAGTACCCAAGGGGGCCTCCCTCTAGTAACACACCACCACAGTAGGGGGCCCCCCTAAGGATTTTTCTTCTTACTTATTTTCTCTATTATTTGTTTTTTTTTTATTATTTATTATTTATTTATTAATTATTTAGGTGTATATACACCTCAATAGTACCAACAGCAGCAGCAAATATCTTTTTTTCCCCTGCAGCAGCAGCAGCAGAAGCAGCACGAGGGTGGCCCCACACTGCTGCTGTTTTCTGCATGCAGCAAAAGAAATATTTAATATATATACACTATATAACATCTGCTGCTTCTCCTGCTGCTGCTCCTGCTGCTGCTCCTGCTGCTGCTGGGGCTACTAGTGCCGGTACTAGTGGTCCTGTTGCTGTTGCTGTTGCTGCTGCTGCTGCTGCTGGCAGCAGCAGCAGCAGCAGATGAGCGAGCGTGCGCTGCATCTAGCTTGGACAGCTGACTCCTCATCAGAGGAAGACACAGCAGCAGAGACACAGCTGCTGCCTCCTCCCTTAAGCAGACGCCGCAGCAGCAGCAGCAACAACAGGAGGCGCAGCAGCAGCAACAACAACAGCAGTATCGCAGCAAACGTTACCACCACCACCAATCACAGCAGCAGCAGCAGCAGCAGCAGCAATAGCAGCAGCAGCAGCAGCAGCAGCGCTGAGGTGTATAATGGCTATGATATCCCTACTGATGATTTGTGGGGTGTTGATCCAGATGCAGAGACACAGCTAACACCAGCAGGTGCAGCAGCAGCAGCAGCAGCCGCTGCTGCTGCTGCTGCTGCTGCTGCTGC